CACACACCCTAACACACACACACTCACACACCCTAACACACACACTCACACACACACACTCACACACACACACACCCTAACACACACACACACACCTGTCCCCTTTCCTCACGTGTCACTCGCTTTGCTCTTAATCGGTGGTTCTCCCTCGCCATCAAGAGTCATTACAGAGAGCATGCTACTTACGTTGTGTTTGTGGCAGAAGTTCAGCGCCTGGAGGGTTTGCCACAGCACGCTTTTGACAACTCCATCAGGAACTCTGGAGGGAAAGAACGAAAACAGAAGTGAACGCTCCTGGAGAGAGGGGTCCCGGAAGCCTCTGCCTCCCTGAGTGCTGGGATCGCAGGTGTGCGCTGCTACTGCTCAGCTCCCGCTTTTCTTTTTTATGCAGTGGAAAGGTGACCATAGCCATCCTAGAGATGGACTACTCAAGTTCAAATCCTACCATGCTACTTCCTATTTTTATAACCCTAGAGAGTTAGGGAAGCTTCAATTTCTCCAGTGTCAAAATGGAATAACACCCCTAAAGTTACTGGGAGAGCTACCACCCAAACACTTGGGCTTAACCTGCACTTGTGGTGAGGAGATGACGGTCTGAGGTCAGATGAAGCCAGTGAATGTGACCACGACCCAGACACACGACTAGAGGTCCCAAAGGTTTAGATTGTTGGGGTTTGGTCTGCTGTATACTAAATGCTAATTGCTGGCGCCTAATTTGCCACCTAGATGAGTGCATTCTCCCGTACAGAAAGTAATGTGTATACTTGCCAATATTCTCTGACAGGTTAAATAAACTACCTGCTAGCCTACAGTTGGGCAGAAGTGAAGTAGGTAGAGCTTAGGTTCCCAGGCTTGGTGTCAGATAGGGACCCAGGAGAGCTGAGAGGAGGAGGAGAAGCAGCAGGAGGGAAGGAAGTCACCATGGGGCAGTATGGACCATGAGCACGTGGCCATGAGGGCTGGCCTGGTAGAACAGATGCAGCCCAGGAAAGAACAATCATGGCAAGTAACCTGGGGTGTGCAGCTGGGAAAGCGCAAAGTAGCTCAGAGGGCTGATGGCTGCCCAGGTATGGGGCCCTGTATAAATCCAAGAGGTCTCTGTCTAGTTTGGGAACTAGCTGGGGTAAAGAAGCCCTCTAGAGGCTAGTATTAATCATAACAGAAGATGCTCTGGGTAAGAAAGAATCGGAAGTGTGGGGGAATAAGAGGGGGAATCAAGAAGCTGTAGAGCCCACAGAACCTGAACCTTGCTCTAAATTCAAAGCTATTGAAAGGAATCAAGCAAGAAGTGATACTTGCAGAGAAGGGGTTTCCAGAAAATAGAGTATGGGAAAATGAATTAGGAAGCTGATCTAGCAATCTGATCTAGCAATGCAGACGACGGTTAAAGTGGTGGAGGGGAGGGATGGTTTTAGCCCCCAGGGAGGGGCAGGCACAGGTACTAGTGACTGTATTAACAGACACGGGGTACTGGTAGGCACCCAGAGACTCCAGCTGCGGGGAACTGGGAAACAGAGCAGGTATGAAGGCTCAGAAATGTTCAAAACCCTGACTGCTAACGTTGTTAATGAGAGACCACGAGGAGCTAATTCTACAGGGGCATTGGTCATCAAAGAGGATATGCAAAGACTTCTTACTGGGACATCATGGCTCTGTCCAGCTAGCTCAGATTCCGAGGAGGCAGAGCCCACTGCTGGAAGAACACACACCAGCGATGAATCCCACTGACCTTGCAGAGGAGATGGGACCATGGCGGATGCAGATGGACAGTGCCAGGTCCAGGCGGGGAGGGCACTCCAACGCCATTCTGCCACAGGCAGCAGTTTTCAAAACATCACACAGTGAAATAAAACCCTCAGTACAAACCAATCAATACTTGGTGTTTAAATATTATACTTTGGTTGAGTGCAAAGATAAATACTAAAGAAATGGTGAAAAGCCTAAAGCAAAGACCAGCTATCTCGGTTCAAGACTGAATGGGCATTGTGTGCAGCTGACTGGAGCTATTCGGCTCAGAAACTGCAGCCCTGGTCACCTGAAGATGACACTGACCATTCATTTGTGAGTGTGCATGTAAGAGAGATGCATGTATAGGTATTTTGTCTGTGTGCTCACGTGTGTACATATGTGTGCATGTGTTGAAGGCCAGAGGTTGGGGCTCTAATTATTATTTTGATGATTTATTTTTAATCTCTTAGGTTTAAATTTTATTAACATAATTTACTGTTTAATTTTTATGTGTGCATTTGGGTGTGTGAGTGCACTCAAGTGTGGGTGCCCAAGATGTGTAGAGGTGTCCGAACCCCTGGAACTGGAGTTACAGGCTGTTACAGGCCTGCTGACATGTGTGCTGGGACTCACACTCAGATCCCTTGGAAGAGCTGTCCATGTTCTAAAGAGCAGAGTCATCTCTCCAGCCCTATCATGTTTGAGACAGGGTCTCCCGCTGAAGCCGGAGCTCACTGATTTGGCTAGAGTGGCTGGCCAGGTCCAGGGATCTCTCTGAAACTTCCCCAGCATTGAGATTACAGGTGTGTGCAGCCACGCCTAACTTTATGTGGGGTCAAGGGAAGATAAACACATCCAAATGTAGGGATGGGCTTCTTCTTGACTCACCAGTTCTTTACTACTGGAAAATCAGGTCAGTCCCAACAAGAAACAATTTTCTAAATAATGCTGTTTGAATATTTACATGTGCATTTTTGCCCTTATCTGAATATTTCCATGGCATATACTGTTCTAAATGGAACTTTGTGGTCCAAGTATGAAAACAGCATCAAATTATTCACATACATTGTCAAATGATCTACCTAGCTACATTCTCTCTAGGGGGAGGGGGACTGCGGACCTGTTTTGTTTGGGGTGGGCTTCGAATTGAACCCCTGTGCCTTGTACATGCCAGGCAAGCTCTGTACACTGAGCTAGATCCCTAATCCTTTTGAAAACATTTGATGCATGGTCTTGACGAGTTACTCAGGTTAATCTTAAACTTGTAATCCTCCCATCTCAGCCTTGCTAATATACTACAACACCCATCTTACCCAATTTGAAAAGTTATTAGTTGTGGTAACACTTTATTGAAATTCTTTTTCAGTTTTATTCAAGGATTTATTTATTTATTTGTTTTGTAAAGTGCAATCTCCAAAATTTCTGATTTAAGCATTGTTGACACTGTTCCCCTTTCCTTCTTTAAAACATTTAAAAAACTTTTTTAGAACCTGTGATTGTATACTGGAAAAACCTGTTTCTGGTTGTGGGGTGGCTCAGCAGTAGCACACACCTTTAATCCAAGAGCTTTCTATTGTAAACAGGTGGTTACAGTGTAGCTCAGCCCTAGCACACACCTTTAATCCAAGAGATTTCTGTACACAGAATTAAATAAAGTCAGCCAAGGAAAAGAGGTGGAGCAAGCAACCAGTTAACAGGAAGTGAACATAGGAAAAGAAACCATAGAGGGCGAGAGGAAGTCCGGAGGATATATTAGAGAGACGCACAGGAAGTGAAAGGAGGGACATTTATGTTGAAGGGTTTTTAAGACAGCGTGGAGAAGGGCCTTTTCTCTTCTGGGGCGTCAGCTGAGTAGGAAGGTCAGCTGGGTGCTTTCTCTGCCTCTCTGAGCTAGCAGGCTTTCACCCCAGCACCTGGCTCCAGAGTCTTTATTGGTAAAATCGAGCGTTTGGGATTTTGTGTAAAAAACAGTTTTAACGTTTTCAAGTTAAAAAAAAAATCCTATTGGCATTCTAATTAAAATTTTGTGCTACAAAAAGAATTGATGAGACAATATGTTTATACTTTTACAGTATTTCCATCTAAGACACATGCTTGTTTAAATATGTCTTTAATCATTTCAGTCAGATTTGTAGTTGTCTTTTGTCCTTTTTTAAGGATTTCTTTTTCTTTGTGTTTGAGCGTTTACCTACATGTACCTATATGCAATATGTGCGGGCAGAGAGAAGGGTATTGGATGCCCTGGAGCTGGAGTTACAGATGCTTGGGAGCCGCCACGTGGAGCCAAACCTGGGTCCTCTGCAAGAGCAGCAGGCATCTCAGCGCCGGGCGCTCCCCAGCCCAGGTAAGCGCTTTCATCCTTTTACACTCTGGGGAGTTCTGGGATTAGGTTTCCTCATCCTGAATCACAGTCTTTCCCTTCATGCCTCACCAGGATGTGTGCTCATTGCCTATGTGCTCCTGGTTACACTTTATCTAGGCTGGTAGCCATCACCCTTTGAGCACATCCTACCTGAAGCTGGAGGGTGTTTGGGGCAGGGGCAGGGGACACTGGGGCTGCACATGGGACCAAAGAGAACTGGCCACACAACTCCAGGTTCTGGGTCACTTACCCGGTCGGGTTCATCTCCAGCTCCTTCAGCAGTGTGTGGTCACAGTACTCGAAAACCAAGTGCATCTTTCTCTTCCTTCTGAACACCTCCACCAGGCTCACAAGGTTTGGGTGTTTCAACTGCTGCAAAAGAATCGAAGCGCGCAGGTTAGCGCTGTGTCCCCACTGCCAGCTGCCCCCAGATCTGCTGTGATGCTTGATTATTCCAGCTCCCGGGCAGACGTCTTCTTTTCTTTTCTTGTGTGTGTTGGCGTGTGAGGTATGTGTTGGGTGCACACAGAGTGTGCGTGCATGTGGAGGTTCGAGGTTGACATCAGGTATTCTCCTTGATTGCCTCTTAGTGTTTTATTAACATATACATATCTATCTATCTATCTACCTATCTATCTCTATATATCCATTCATGAGTGTGCAATGTCACATGTGTGGAGGTCAGATGACCACCTGTGGGGGACTGATTCTCTCCTTCTGTGACTTAAGTCCCTTGAACTCGTGTTGTCAGACTTGGCTGCAGGCGTCTTTACCTGCTGAGCCTTCTTGTCTCTCCTCCCTCCCTTTAATTTTTGAGACAGGCTACCTCGCTGGGATGTGGCACTTACGGTCTCAGCTAGACTAGCTGACCAGCAAGCCTTAGGTATCCTCCTGCCTCTGCCTTCCCAAAACTGGGCTCACAGACACATGCCATTGAGCCAGTTTTTATACCGCGTTAGGGATCTGAACCAGTGTCTCCACGCTTGTACAATACACACTTTACTGGCTGGGCAATTTCTCTAGCTTCTTGTACAGAATTTGTTACACTGTTTCTTAAGATAAATTAATGGCTCTTAGAGCCACAGAAACTTCTCGGAGGACTAAATAGAAGATTTGTAGCAAATCAGTAATGATAGTAGCTACACTGTTAAATTCCCTCTGTGATGGCACTAAAGTGAAACCACCGTGCAGGGTATGAAAAACTAGGAACCTACAGTTCATAATACAAGTGAAGAACTGAGGAATTATTATGCAAAGACTATAACGTGATCAGCATCTATGTACCTTATCCATTATCATGGACAAAAAAAGAGTTTTCTTTTATTTTTAATTGAGTGTGTTGTGTGTGCACATGCACACACGTGTGACTGTCGGTGCCTGCAGAGTCCAGAAGAGGGCACCAGATCCCCTGGAGCTGGAGTTGCAGGCAGTTGTGAGCCAGCTGGGAGCGGGCTGTCTGCAAGAACAGTGTGCTTTTAATCTGAGCCCATCTCCCCAGTTCCCTTCGCCATAGACTTACTACACTGTCGGCTGGATTTAAATGCACTCTGGGGTCTAGTGTTGGCTCTCAGCAATACTGGATCCTGCTCCTAAGCTTTTGTTACACTTCTGAGGAGCCCCCCAGACTTGTGTATCTAGGTATTCTTTTCATTGCATTCTGCTCTCCTGGAGTCTGCTGCTTGCACTGATGCACAGATGTTCTATGTGTTGCATTCTATTGTCAGAAAGTAGTCTTTGATAGGTTTTCTTCTTTTTCTGTGCACTATAATATTCTATAGATGTATTTTAAAAAATGTTTCAATGTGAGCTGGGCGGGGTGGTACATGTCTGTAATCCCAGCACTCTGGGAGGCAGAGGCAGGTGGATCTCTCTAAGTTCGAGGTCAGCTTGGTCTACAGAGAGAATCCAGGACAGCTGAGGCTACACGGAGAAACCCTGTCTCGAAAACAAACAAAGTTTTTATGTGAATGAGTGTTTTGCCGGTATGTATGTATGTATGTACATGTACTACTTGTATGCCTACATAGGTCAGAAGGTATCAGAACACCGGGAATGAGTTACAGATGGTTGTGGAACTAAACCCAGGTCCTCTGCAGGATCAGTAAATGCTCTTAGCTGCTGAGCTCTCACTCCAGCCCCTTGTTCAATATTTTAAGCCAAAGTTATAACGCCGATGAAGTTAGAGAATCTACTCCTAGAGTGACTATAAAAACCTTAGTATTAGACGTCAATATAACAGGTAAAACCAGAACAACTATAGGCAAACTACCATACATGGCTAGTCTGCTTACACGGAGGGAGACCGTACTGGGGCACCGCCCAGAGTGGCAGGATATTAGCTACACAGGAAACTAGGGCAAAAACTACCAGCCAGGATGCCCCTGGGAAAACCAGGACATAGGACCTAACCTATTGGTAACTCCTTTTCCTTGTTGTATACCTAGTAGACAAACCAATTTTCCAACACGCACAAACACATGCATGTGTAAAACCACAAAATCCCCTGCTCTGTGCTGCTCGGTGTTGGGGAAACAAGAACCTGTTCTACATGGGGAATGCGTCCTGAGCCCCAAATCAATCTGCACTCCCTATACACCACTGGCTGAAAGAGCCGAACGAAGGTCAAAGGCAGGCAGGGGTGGTTTCACAAGAGTCAGGTGCTCTGTGCTCTAGCATAACCCCGGCTGCAAGCTGGACACTTCTCCTGCCTGCCGGGTGGACAAGGGGTTCACAGACACTGCAGCTCGGTGACACAGACGTGCCCAGGCGTCAGCTGGCCAAAAGCGTCTGTGGGCAGGCCCGCCACTGGCTGTGAGTGGTGCTGGCACAGCCTGCACTGTGGTTGCCTCCGGTGAAACAGTGTGAGGAGGGTAAGCAGGAGGAGAGTGTGAGGAAAATAAAGACGATGAGTGCTGGGCCAGCAGTGGGGCAACAGGAAAGGCCTGGACAGCGTGTTCTGAGCCATCGCCAGACCCCTCATCGAGGGAACGCAGTGTGGCTGCTTTGCACCTTAGGGTCATCCTTAGATTGAGGCTGTTTTAGCTCAGAAGTTAGACAAGCAGGCAAAAACCCCCTAAGCATTAGGTTTATCAGGGAGGGCGAGGGTAAGAGAAGTGGTTTTTGTTGTTGTTTTTTGTCTGAGACCCTCCGTGCCCGAGGAGGCTGGTTCCCTCGCGCCCTCTGCTGGCAGAGCGGTAAGAGCAAACTTTTTTTTTTTTTTTATTAAATTCTGTTTTTAAAGGAAAGGGCAATATATTGGGGAAAACTTTTTATATATTTGAAAAGGAAAAATAATGTAATTATTTCTTTACCTTTACAAGCTGGAATTCCGTTAAAAAGGACAACAGATACACGGGAAATGAAGGTTGGCTGTGCGCAGTTGAAAGAAACCACAGGGTCGGATAATGAATGGACGTTCACCTGCTAGCAGTGCCTCCCCCTGGGAGCTCATTAGAAAAGAGGCGCTTCCGGACCCATCCCGAATCCCCCTTCCCCCAGCTCTGCACTTCAGCAGATCCCTAGGGGGTCCCCCGGAGGCTCTCATTGGAGAAGCGTATTCCAGGCTTTACACCTCTAGGAAAACATTTCCATTGGGAACATACAAAACCTCTACACCCAAGTGCCATCAGGGTAAAAGCAATGGCAACAAAAGAAAGAAAGACAGAAAGAAAAAGGGAAAACCGGTTGAACACACCCGAGGATGCCTGCAGGGGAACTGGGGGCCTCTCTGCCGGGAAGTGCCCTTGCAGTTCTGCTGGTTGGCTGGGGAAGGGTGTGGGGGCAATGTCCAGAAGATGCCAGGCAGGAGGACGGTTGGTAAACAGTGAGGTCAGGACACGGGGACAGCAGGGATGTTTCTCAATCAGGGTGTCGCGTGCTGCACGCCAAGTACTTGGATGCTTTAACCACTTACTGCCATGCTCACACATTCAGAAGAGAAAAAAAACAAGGAGGCCAAAGTCCCACACTGTTTTCCCAAAGTTGCTGATCCCCACGAATCTAAGTCCAGGGAAGAGGAGCCCAGCTCTCCGCTGGTCGTATTAGGTTGGTAGGCCCGCCCTCGGAGGCGGGCCTGCAGACCTACCTTCAGCATGCGTATTTCTCGCAGGGCAATTTTCTTAACCACCGGGTCATCTTCGGATTCCACGAATTTTTTGATAGCTACTACTTGTCCAGAAGATCTGTTCCTGCACTTGAATACGACCCCGTAGGAGCCTTCTCCAATCTTAGCTAGTTTTTCATACTTTTCCATTTTTGTTAAAGCCACTGAAGGCAGCTGGAGCGCAGAGCCGCACCTGGAAGAAGAGAACGGCTCTCGTGACTCACGCCGCCCAGGACACCGTTCTCACAGTTTGTGTGACAGCCTCTGGGTGGCCACAGGCGCATTCCCACCCTTTAATCTAAGCTTCTGAGTGCAGCGTGAGTGAGTGCGGTACAGGGGTCATTTCTATTGGTGGCTCTGTGCTTGAACTGCAGCTCAAAGAGCACAACCTGGAGGAAGAGCCTTTACCCGATACATTGTTGTTATTTTCCTGGAGCAAACGGTTAAAACACAAGGCTGTGAAATGCCGCGGAGGGAAGGACTTTCATATTCTTGAATCTGGTGTGTGCCTTTCCTTAACTCACTCACGGAAACCCCACAGCAAGGGGGAAGAATTGTGCAACGGAACAGAGTACAAAACTCTACACCCCCACCTGGTGGACAGAAGGAAGAAAACCACGATCTAAACAACAGAGCTTTTCTTGGGACACCATTTCCTCAAAACGTTGGGGCGACGTTTATTATTACTACTATTATGATAGTGTGTGTGTGATACAAATGTGAACGTGGATGTCTGTGTATGACATGAATAGGAGATGCGTATAGGAAGTGTACATGTGGCATGCATGTGAGCGTGACAGCAAGGGTGTGACAGCAAGAATGTGGTGCTCAGAAGACAACCTGTCAGTGCCAGTCCTCTCCTGCCACGCAGGTCTGAGGATGTGCTCAGGTTACAAAACCTGCCTGGCAAATCAAATGCCGTTATAACGTGATCCACCCTGCTGGTCAAGGCACCATATCTTTTTTCTTTAATTTTATCTTTTTCTTTCTTTCCTTCCTTTCTTCCCTTCTCTCTCTCTCTCTCTCTCTCTCTCTCTCTCTCTCTCTCTGAGACAGAGCTTTGCTGCGTAGCCCTGGTTGTCCTGGAACTTGCTTAGCGGACCAGATTGGTCTCACACTCACAGAGACCAGGCTGTCTCTGCTTCCAAAGTGCTGGGACTAAAGGTGTTGTGACACCATGACCAGCCAGGCACCATTTCTTGTTCTTAGCTTTTATTTGTATTGGGGTGACCAACTTTTGGACCCCCTGTAAAGGAAAACAATTATAATACTACATCAGAAAGGAGGTCATATTTTCTAATCCTTTTGCAATAGTCCTATATCCACAGGGACTTTTAGGAAAATACTGGATCTCATTTTTATTATCTTTCACATTGTTTATGCCTATAATTGTGACTAGATTAAACAATAAGAGATAAGGCCAAAATGATTAAATAAATCATGGTAGGTAGGAATTAACATCATAAAATTTGTAATTAGCCTCAAAAATCTTACCCCTTTATCCAACATAATCTTGTGTGTATAATCTAATAATAATGATAGGAGCTAACGCTGAAGTAGCTTTGCTTTGTTACATATAGTCTATATAAACAAGCAAGTGTTACTTCATCCAGTTGTCTAGATGAGAGAACTGGAGCACAGTGAAGCTGGTACAGAATTAGAGTCAGTCTTTAGGGTGCAATTGAAATCGCCACCCTCCCCTGCCTCCAGGTTAATTCATAAAAATGCACAATTTGAAGAACTGTTTTATTTGGGTCCTGGTAGTAATGATATTAAGTGGAAGAGCTAACCATTTATAAAATTCCTCATGTTCCAAATAAGTGTACACTTGAGATGGTTATTAATATTCAGTCTTTTGTTCATGGGTAGCTCAACGGAGAGAGAAATTATCTACCCTTACTTGATATAAAGATACACTAGGGGTCGAATGTTTGCCTCAGTCGCTACAGTGCTTGGGTGGCAGGCTGGAAGCTCTGGGTTTGAGTGCACGGTGCACACCTGTGATCCCACCGCTGGGGAAAAGCAGAGGCAGCAAGGTCAGAAAGTTCAAGGTCACACACCAGTAGCCCTTAGGATGCTGAGTGGGAAGATCAGAAATTGAAAGCCAGGACAGGCTACACAGTGAGACACTGTCTCAAAAAGGACCGAACAAAATCATGTTATGGGGAATACTGTTTAGCTGGGTAAATGATTCCTAAATATAGTGTTTTTTCAATTTCATTATCCTTTTAGTAACGGATTGGAATCCCTATTAAAGGGGGAAATAATCAACCCCACCCCCCAAAAAAGCCAACAACAACAGAGAAAAATCTGTGACAGATTAAGTCCTGGGAACCTTATTGAGTACACTGTAGTTTTCACAGAGGTATCATTAACTTACATTTGCCTGGAAAGAGCTGAAAGTACAAATTAGCTTTAGAAGGTTACTGGTGTGGAACTTCATAGATTCATTACTTCATCTAGTTTATAAGCACTACAGCTCCTGGGGAATCCTGTGAACAGGACAAAGTTTAATAACGAAACTCTCTTCTTTTTTGTGTCTTTCTGTATCTAGGATCTTAGGCTGGCCTCACACTCCCTATGTAGCCGAGGGGGATGCTGAATTTGGAATTCGGTCTTTCCCTCTTGAATGCTGGGATTACTGGTGTGCACCACGGCACCTGAGCTTTTAGTTGGGCAGCTTTAGTCTATGCACTATTTTTCAGTTGCCTCTGCGTTAAGTTATTTCACATGGTGAGAGAATTATCTGCGTCGCCTACTTCTGTCCAGCAGGTTTGTTCAGTAGTGACAGATTTCTCCAACTCATCAGATCTCTCTCACATCAACCAAACCACTGATTGCAAAACAAAAACAAAAAACAAAACAAAAAAAAAAAACCTCCACCCAGGTGTGGTGGCTTCCAACACTTGGGAGGCAGAGGCACACTCATCTCTGTGAGTTTCAGGTCACTGTGATCTACACAGCAAGTCCAGGCCAGTCAGGACTATGTAGTGAGTCCGGCCTCAAAAAAAAAAAATAGTGCTTCTTAGAATTTCTCAGTACGATCTGGGAATCTGGGATGCATTTCGGGTGGCAGGAGATTGCTACAAGAAGCAGGAGTTCCACAAAGGGCTTTGTGGCTCGGATCCCTGTTTTCTTAACTCTTACCTGTTTCTAGAAGCACAGTTCCCACTCCCTCACCTGAGGTCCAGCTCTCCAAATGAACCACGAGCATCTCTGCATGGGTGGGCAGGGCCATCCTGACACGTGTGTGTTCTAGGGCAAGGCCCGTTCTGCCCGCTGACCCTCTGCTTAGCAGAGCTCACAAGCGTTCTCCACATTGCACCGAAATGACTTTCCAAGAAAGACATGGAAGAGAACTTAAAGACAGCCGAGGCTCAGGACCCAGCGCCATGGGATCACTTTGTAAATAGTGCACGGAGCTATGTCAGTCAACCTGTACATGAACCCGTTGGCTTCAACAACACACATGGACTCTACAAACAACTCAGAAAGCAAAGTCCAACTCTGGACTCCCCTGACATCTCTTGATCCCCCTTGTGAGAGTTTGCATAAAGCAAAGATGAGCGTGGGGTGAGGTCTGGAAGAGTGAAGGGGATACAGGGTCGAAGACACTCACAAGCAAACACCTGCACGCTGATATGGGTGGATGTTGTTATCACTCTTTGGGGCAGAAGATAAGGGAGATGGGAGAGGCGCCCACCAGAGGCTGAAAAATGAAGAGCCCAGGAAGACGTGGCCATAGATGGAATTTTTCAGGCACAGGAGAGCTGTGGACTCACACAAACCTTTCCCTCATGACTAACATCAGCTAAGACGTCTAGCTTCCCCCCCAAAGTTTAGTCTTTAGTCTTCCTTGTACATTTAATTAGTTAATTGTGTGTGAGTGTGTGTGTGAGTGTGTGTGTTCATGCCACAGCATGCCTGTGAAGGTTAGAGGACAACTTTGGGGAGTCAGTTCTCTGTTTTCATCATGGGTTCCGGGAACTGAACTCAGGTCTCAAGGCTCATGCAGCAAAGCGCTTTTATCTGTTGGGCCATCTCGCTGCCCCAGACTTCCATAGGGAGGTTCAGAAACCCACGGAACAAAAATAGCAGTGACAGCATGTACAGAGTAAGATTCCTAAGAGAAAAAAAAAGGGGGGGGGGAGCATGAGGCAGAGGCAAAAAAGGATTTTTTTTTTTTTTTCAAAATAATGGTCAAATCTTTCTAAATATAATGAAGAACATTGGCCTACACTTTCAAAAAGTTCAATATATTATAACAAGAAAAAGATACAGGTAGAATAAACATGAGATTCATTCCTTCATCATGGGCACACTGCTGTAAACCACCCAGAGAGACCATCATGAAAACAATAGAGAAGAGCCAGCTGTCTGATAGCTCATCAGAAAACAACATGGAAACTGCCCACACCAAGGCTGCTCCTATGAAAACAGTGGTGAGAGTAAAAAAAAAAAACAAAAAAACAAAAAACCCCACACACAGAAAGAAATAGAAATCTGACTACATAGAAAGTAAATTAACAATTACAAATCTACCTACAGAGAAAAGCCCAGGATGAAAAAAAAAAAAAAGCTCATAGATGAAGTCTACCAATATTCAAAGAATAATCAATGCAAATATAACTCTTCCTAAATATTCCTAAAGAGAAAGAAATTTACTTCACAGGGCCAATATCATCCTGGTTAAAAAAAAAGTTAGATAAAAAAAATCACTATGCACACGAGAACACTCAACAAAATAACTACCAAACCAACTACAGACACACAGGAAAAGGATCATATGACATAGCCACATGGAATTTACCTTAGAAATGCGAGGTTGGTTTAATATCTGTAAGTCAATAGTGTTAAAAGAAAAAGCAGTCATACAAATAGAATAAAAGTAAAAAAATCACATGCTTATATCAGTAGATATAGAAAAGGCATTTGATAAACTCAATAGTCATTCATGAAAACTATCTCAACAACTTAACAGAAAGAAAGGAGCTTCAAGGGTGTGTGTGTAAATCCTACACGGTCAATGTTATGATTAGTGATGAGACATGAAAGACTTACTCCTAGGACTCAGAATAGGCACTGTTTTATCTCCTCTTTCTTTGTCTCTCTCCCTCTCTTTTTCTTTCTTCTTCTACTTCTTCTTCCTACTTCTCCTCCTCGAGACAAAATCTCATATGTATCCCTGAAACCCACAGAGATCCCCCTGCCTCTGACACTCTAGTGCTCTGGTTAAGGGTGTGTACATAACCCCAACACCCAGTTTTGTCATTTCTTTTTAATGATTTATTAGAAGTTACTGCCAGTAAAATGACACAACTAAAGAAACTGAAGCTGTGTAGATTGGAAATAAAAAGCACAACTGCCACTATTGTATGTAGAAAACGCTAACAAATGGGCAGGAAATTTATTAGAACTGATGACCAAGTGGGCAATGCCGTGGAAGCAAGGTCAGTATGCTATCATCAGTTGAATTTCTATATTGGCAACAACTCGAAATATAATGAAGAAAATAATAATTTTACTCCCAGTGATATAAAAATACTTAGAAATAAGT